CTTGTTACAGAAACTTCCCCCCATCCCGGGGCGGGGGCGTCTTTCTGTTTTATGGTTCTTTGCATGCTGTCGGTAGGAACTGTGGCTTTTAATGCCAGAATTTGGTAAAAAGGAAAGGAATTATTTAATGAAAAGTTATACAGCCCTAGCTGGTGTGGCCCAGTGGATTGAATGCTGGCCTGCAAACCAAAGAGTTGCTGGTTCGATTCCCTGTGTAGGGTATGTGCCTGGGTTGCAGGCCAGGTCTCCAGCAGGGGGCATGCGAGATGCAACCACACACTGATGTTTCTCTCCTTCTCTTTCCCCCTTCCTTCCCCTCTCTAAAAATAAATAAATAAAATCTTTAAAAAAAAAGGAAAAAAGTTATACAGGTTTAGAGTAATGGTGGAGTGTCGCCATTAAATCCCAAAGTCCCTTTAAAACAGCCACAAATACACATACACAGTCCTGCCTCCTTCTGCCAAACCAGGCCAGTCATGGGTACCATATTTCACGAAAAGAAAATAGAAATCCATAGCTCGGCTAGGCTCCCGTTCGTAATCCAAAACTGCATCTTCATGGTGGGCTGGGGAATTCTTTTGCATCTTTTCAAACAGCCTGGCCAAGAGAGAGAGCTCCGCCTGGCCCCTACATCCTGCTTTCCTGCTTTCTAAGCCATGTGGTCAAAAGAGTTCCCTCTCTGCTCCCAATACTGCATGGTTAAGCCCCAGCATGGCTGCTGCATCTGGGTTTAAATCCTGGCATGGATCTTCTTCCATAACCCCATTTCTGACTGCTCCCACATCGGGTTACACCTGCCAGTAGTTTGTTTTCTGCTGCTTTTCTCGGCTGCCATTGTTAATCTGGGCAAGCATGGCCCCAGGATGCAGGAGCCGCCTACAAGCTGCTCTCGTGGGCGTAGGAAGCCCCTTTGCTACATTACATCATGGATTAGAGTCACGTCCATCTCCCTAACTCCTAGCACAGGCACAGCTTTTTAACGTTATTAAAACACTGGCCAAGTTCTTCAGATACACAAAGTAGCTCTCAATGGCCCCGCTTTGCTTCCCTCATCCCCCAAGTAATAGCTATGGGAGTTTCCTCCATTTTGGGGGCACCTTCAGCTCAACATCCTGTTACAACCTCTCTTTGCCCCCAGAGCCTGTGGCCCTTGAGCTGAACCACAGCCTCCTCAGTCTCATTATGCCCTGTTTGTGGTTCCTGTGGCACCCGGGATCAGGGAGGCAACAGTCCCTTCCCCAGTAAGTATTGTAGTCCCTGGGTCCTGGCTCCTGGCCATGTGAGTGCGCAGCCTTGCTGGGGGGAGGACACAGAGACACATCTGGGTGCTGAGGTGTGGGCCCTCCGGAGGCTTCTTCCCAGGGATATTTGGGGCTCCCACCCCAAATCTGTGCAGCCAGAAGTGCCACAATGGGCAGCGGTGATGGCAGCTGCTCCACTAGGAGAGCCTGGGCCGTCTGCTCCCAAGTGCCCTGCAGGTGGGCATGCACCCCTCACACTTGTCCACGTACGAAATCACTCACACATGCTCTCACTCATTCTCAGCTTAATTTTTGAGTTGATAGGTCTGTGGTTTAGCTACAAAACCAGTCCAGATCTGGGAGGAAGCGGACAGAGCTTCTGCAGCCATCTGCTGACATTTAATTTCCTTGTTCCTGGAGCGGTTGTGGGGCTTGCATGAACTGATAAAGCCATTAATGCAGTGTCTAGTTCTCCTACTTTCCCCTTGCAACAAAATTAGCCAGCCCCTAATGCATCTAATTAATAAATGTGCATTTTAAAGATACTGACAAGGAGCTGCGGCTCCTTTTATTGCCTACGGGAGGGAACCTGGACGCAAAGTGGCTGACATAGCCTGTTGTTAAGTGTTAATACGGGATCCTCATCCTTGTTTTAAGGTGTGGAGGAGGCAGGGGTAGTTTTGAAATGCAAATGTGCATTGTGTTGCCATGACAAAGATGTTGCAAGGAAATAGAAAAATCATAGAATTTCAGAGCTGAAAAGATTTTCAAACAAAATAACTCCATTTTCTAAGCACAAATTGGGACAGAAGGTCAGAAGGGTACAAGTGCTCTTATGGAGACAGCAGAGCAAAGCCATAGTATCTAGAGTTTAAAATGTTTTCTTTTAAACCTCTTAGCATATCTGAAATTAGTATTTTTGTGCATTTAATGTACTTTTTGTTTTAAGTTGGGAAAAGCTGTTATTATAACCAACGTGCATCTTACAGACAATGGTATCTTAAAATCAAGCAAATGTTGTTTTGAAATCAGAGCTGACACTGCCTGAATCAATGATCTGTCCAACAGGAGACTTCCTGGTTCTCTTCTGCACTATGAAGCGGTAGACCAGTTTCCACTAAGTGTCCTGGCGCTGCTATGGCAGCAGATGATGGCGCCCTGCAGATCCCGCGGCATCTACTTCCATGTGCCTCCATCGTCTTGTGCTTCTGTTGTTACTGAACAGAGCCTGCTGCCCCATGTGCATAGGAGCCAAAATGATGACGCTGGCCTTTGAGCAAAGAAAGAGCTTTCTATTTAATGCTGAGTATATTTGCAGAAGACAGGAGGCACTGTTGACGGGACAGACCTGATTCTTCTTGCTGACACATGTGAAGAATTACATGTCAGCAAATTGTCCTTCAGAAGAAAACAGAAGTCCGGAGCTTGCCTAGACAGGCCTCTTGTGGTTCCCGGCACCATCAGCTGTGTTGCTGCAATTTCCAGTTCTTAATCCAAAACCACATGGCACCTTCTCATGGCCCACTAACAAGAGTCCGTTCTCCCCTTTCCTTCCCGCATGGTCTTCGCATTGTTCCCCCATGGAATGGAGCAAACCATCTCCAAGCTCTCATGCACATGCGCTGTAACCGGGGGAGCTGCCTGCATGGCTGCTACATCTTGTTTTCCTGCGTCACAAAACTGCGTGGTCAAAAGCCTCTAGCGTGGTTGCCGTGCTTGAGTCCCAACCCCAGCACAAATCCCACTCCCCACCAACCTCATCTCCAACTCCTTTGACCCAGGGGAGCTGCTTGCCCAGTTACATCCTCGGTTAAACTTATGCAAACCTTCCTTGTTAGCCTTCTGATATGCAAAATAACCATCCTTGCATATGATGAATGAAGCTATCCTCCTGTTATTGACATGCAAAGTAACTTTCAAGGGCCCTGCACCCTGTCTCCCATTCCCCATGGCAGCCAGCTTGGGCAGGGGAGAGAATATCCTATATTTTTCTTGGACGCCCCAATTTCTGTACCTCATTACAAATCCCCTTTGGGGGGCCCTGACTGTACCCTGTTACAGCACTGCTTGAATCTGTCTCTCTGGTCTGGGGTCTGGGCAAGTTTTAAGGGTTAAGGAAAACAGGGTGCATGAAGTAGTGCTGGTGGGGCCAGTTTTGACTAGAGGGTTTCAGAACTTGGCCAGTTATGGTATAGAGTCAAGAGAAAGCACACAGCAATTCCAATCTGGCAGAGTTGGATTGGTCACTTCTATGTTTGTCCATATTTGCTCCAGGCACCAGATCGTCCTTATTGAAGGACTGCTTGCTTCATAAAGGGCTCCAGTGGCCACACTTCTGTTTCTTGAGTTTCACAGATTGAAGATTCTTGGTTCTGGGGTCATCTTGAAGATGGCACATGTGCAGTGCTGTCTCTGTAAAATAACCCAAAGATTGCATTAATCATCAATCTGCTTTAAGGGAGCAGAATCTATGTTAAGCTGGTCACTGTGATATGGGTGCTGCTTTACTATCCTGAGGTCACTTTGGGCTAACAGCAAAATCTACCTGAGTGTGGGGGAAGGCTGGAAGGTTGGGGAGTGAACAACTCTAAAAGAAGTCCATCAGCCAACAAAACCTGGGAGTTGCTGGGAAATAAGGCTGATTTGTCACCGCTTAGAAGGGAAACTCTGAGGGGCGTTCTGCACTGTCTGCCCAGAGTTTCCCAATGGTATTGTGTCCTAGTTTGCACATGCAGCATCAGGCTTGATAAACCATCCTTGGCTGCCTGCCCTCTCCCTCCTTGTCTCACTTGCCTGCTCCCCCTGCTGATGCATCTGGGATTCCCCTTGCAAATACAGCACTTGCACTAGAATCCTTGTGTGATGGTTCATTTCAGGTGTCAACTTGCCTGGGACTGACTTCTAAGCTGGAACATTGCTGTACTCCTGCCCTCACTGCTCCTGGGTCTTAGGCCTTCATACCCAGACTGGAATCTACACCACGAGCTCTCTGGTTCTCAGGCCTTTGAGTTACGCCACTGGCTTTCTTGAGTTTCCTGCTTGTAGATGGCAGACTGCAGGACTTCTCAGTCTCGGTAATTGTGAGAACCAATACCTTAGAATGAATATGTGTATATCCCATTGGTTCTATGCTCCGGAGAACCCTGACTAAAATACCTTGTCTCAGGGTCTGCTCCTGGGGAACCCAGCCTGAGGCAGCTGGCCACCTATGACTACAATGACATCTCTACTGCAGGGACAGCACTGTGAAAGCCTTTCTCTAGGGGATCTTGTCAATATTGAAATAGCTGGGCAGCTGTGGAGCAGTAGAGGAGGAACTGCCTTTAAAACTAGAGGACTCTGTTCAAATTCTAGCATTACTTTTTGCCTCCTGTATGAGTTGGGGCACTATCTAATCCTGCCAAGCCTCAGTTTCCTCATCTGTTCATTGAAAGAAGGTTTGTTTGTTTTTTCCTCACAAGGCTAGTGTGAGGCTCAAACAACACAACACAACACAACACAACACAAAACAAAACAAAACAATGTCTTTGTATGTGAAAGAACTTTGTGAATTGATGGAGCATGCACAGCATTATTTTATAACTGAGAGGCAGTGTGACCCAGGAGAATAACAGGACTTTGGGGTCAAGCACAGCTTGATTTAGATCCCTGATTTACTGCATCTCATTTGCCTGTTCTTCATCAACTTACATGACCACTTTGTGGCCCATCCCCTCATCCACCAGATGGGTGGAATTTTTTATTTTTATTTTTATTTTTTCAGGTCAGAATCACCTTCATAATTTGGGCCCGGGACAAGCCCGTCCTTGTCTATTTGATCGATTCATTGCATCTGAGGGCCAGGCTTCATAGGACTGGCTCTGAGGCCATGGCTCTGTGGCCTCCCTAGGGGCCTTGCTACATGGCTCCCCGAGGAGGGGGCTTTGCAGGAGAGGAGCTTTTCATTTCTGGTCGGCTGGGCAGGGCTGGGGTCACAGCCCAATCAAGTAAGATCAACATGTGGGGGCAGCAGGGAGAACCACAGGGGGCATGCACTTGCCTTGCACATCCCATACGCGATCACATTCACTCATGCACTCACATACTTGGCTCACACATGCCATCCACGTGACACCATAGCACCCAGGCACAGAAAACAACCACTTCGCCCTCGGCCGCTCTCCCTCCCAAGATGGGTGGAACTTTTTAGGGTACTATGAATATATTAGTTAGGGTACAAAGCTGTAACAAATAGGCACCAAAATACAGTGATTTTAAGTATGTAGAAGTTTATTTTCTCTCGCACAAGAGTCTTAAGGTGAGTGCTTCAAGGCTGGAATCTTTACGAACTCACTTAAAAATACAGGTTTCTTCTACTTTGTCAACATCAGCATGGCAAAAGTGGGCTCCCCAGCAACAGATCCATGGAATGAGGACTAGCAATTCCCTTTAAAGAGGTGACATGGAGGCTTCACATATAACCTCTGTTTATTTCCCATTGACTAGATTTAGTCACATTGTGAAGTCTAGTTGCAAGAGAGTCTGGGAAATGTCATTTCTATCTTTATCCATCTTGCCAAACTTAGGAGGGGGCTCTATTACTAAAAGGAGAAGAAAAGAGACTGAGAAACAACCAGTAATTTCTGCAATAGGAGTAATTTCCACTTCACTGTGTTGTGGTGAAGCTTAAATGAGCTCCTGTCTGCCAAGAGCCAGCTCATGACACATCCTTACTGATTTTGACACTAATTTGTCTTTATTGTTATAGCAACAGACGGAGGCTCAGGATCCTGAGGATAAGATGAGATGGGGGCATCGGTATGGGTGATGATCCCCTCAGAGGGCCCCTTTGCAGAGCCAGAGCCTCCTCACTTCCCTGGTCTAAAGGTGCTCACCCGCCCTGTGCTCCACTCCTGCGAACATCCCAGCGCTGGCTCCCCGAAGCCCACCTTAGTGAATGAATCTATTTTCAAATCTTGATGGACTATTACCAGAGAAATTCTACCTTGGCTGGGCCTACTACGGAGAGAACACGTAGAATTCATTAAACCTAGGCTCACCTTGTAAGACTGCTGGTGGGCTCGCTAGTCACCAGCTTCAGTAAACTTCCACCAGGGGGGTGGCTGAGTGAGGGAGAAAAGAAGAAACCCAGAAAGAAGAGGGCTATGTTGGATAAGCAATGAGCCCAGGTACAAGTTCTGATTTCCACTCCTTCCTTTGCCTTGGATGTGCTGTGTAAATTTAAGCATCCTTTGTGCCTCTCTGGTCTTCCCTTTCTCATCTTACTCTGGTTTTCTGAGTCTAAGGCAGACCAACCAATAGGTGTCCATTCACCTCGCCTGGCCCAGCTTTTCCTGGGTTTATTTCAGAGGGAAAAGTCATATTTGGGCTCAGTTTAGCTTGGACTTAGGAAAGAGGCCCAGTAATTATTCATTCTGGTGGTGTTTATTGAGCACCTACTGGGTACTAGGCCCTGCCATCCCGGGCTCAAAGAGCTCACAGAGAGTAGTGGCCAAACAAATAGTCATTCAAGCAGAAAATGACAGTGCAGTCCAGCCAAAGATGGAGGGTGGACTGAGGATGTCAGTACCAACTATGCCCAGAGACTTCAGGATATGGGCAGCAGTTTGTATTAGTAATAACAATAAAACTGATGTTTACTGATGTGCTGGACTCTGTGCTGAGGGATTTGTAAGCAGTATCTCATTAGTTCTCTCTTTAGCCCCAGGAGGTAGGTTCTACTAGTCATACCAGTTTATAGATACAAAAGTCTAGGACCATTGAGGTTAAGTAACTTGCATCAAGTCACCGAGCGAGTAAGAAGCACAGTTGGGATGTGAAGCCAGGCTTTTTGTCAGCCAACTATAGTCCCATAAACCAAATGCTGGCCCATGGCCTGTTGTATTTTTAATAGAGATGGTATTCATGCAAAGCTGAAAATAATTACTATCTTGTTCTTTACAGAAAAAGAATGCTGAATCTTTCTTTATTAGGTTGTCATTAATTCTCACAGCAACCTGAATTGTTACCTCCCCTTATACCAGGTGGGGAGACTGAGGCAAAGGGAGTTAAAGTTGCTTGTCCAAGGTCACACAGTAGAGCTGCGATTAATGCTCTGGCCACAGTGTTCCGAGTTTGTGCTCTAACCACTGTGGCCCATCGTCCTTCCTGTTCTACCAGCAAGGTCTGCTCCTTACATTTAATTTTCACATTCTGTTTAGCGCGAAAAAGAGAAAAAGGTACTTGTTAGAACTGGCTATGAGTAGATGTCAAAATATTTTCTGTGGCACCAGAAGTGTGTGTTGAGAAGAAAAATCGCGAGGACCAGAACTTTCAATATTTGTCTTTGTGGTGACCACATAACGAGAGCTTTGGCAGCTCGCCCAAAATGGTCCATCCGCTGGAGGCTGGGGACAGGCTGGAAAAGCTGTCTGTGGTAGTACCAAGCTCACTGGGTTGCTGCAAGGATCATACGACAGGATGTATGTAAAGTGCCCAGGCCTGTGCCTGGCAGCTAGTGAGGTCCAGGTAGGCATTTGCTATTTTGTGTCCTAAAGAGCTATTCCCAAGGAATGTTTGTACTTCATGACAATATCTGATTTGCTCATTAACTTCTCTCTCAGGTCTAGGTCATTGCACAGGCTATTCTCCCTGCCTGGATTCTTTCCCCTATAAGCAAGAAGGGTGTATCTGCCCAGATCTCCTTGGAGCTGCGGACTCCAATCTGGGGCCAGGGTTGGCAGGGCTGCTGCCTGACCCCTCCACCCTGTAGATAGCCATGCATGCTCTCTCTCTGTTACAGCTATAGTCCTCCTCTGCTTTATTGACTATGCACAGGCCTATCAAGAGTAATTCTGACTTTTGTTGATTTCTTCCTTGCTCATTGACTTGGAATTTACCTGGTATCCTGCCATAGAACAACACAGGTGTACAGACCATGTCCCTGTCACCATAATTCCTGGGTTCAAACCCCAGCCTGCTCTTTACTAAACCATAACTCCAGGCAAAGTATTTATCCTCACTGAGCGTCAGCTCCCCCATCTGTGAAATGGGGAGTGATTTAGTACCTACCATCAGGGTTGTTGTAGGACTGAACTGAGTGAGCATGTAAAGTGCTTGTAAGAGTGCTCAATAAAGAAATGCTAGCATTTATTGTTGCTGTTGTTATTATTTTATTTTTTAAATCATCCTGAGGATATATTTATTGATTTTAGAGACAGAGAAGAAGGGGGGAGGAGAGGAAGAGAGAGAGAGACAGAGAAACGTTGATGTAAGAGAGAAACATCGATCAGTTGCCTCCTGTTTGTGCCCTGACTGGGGGCTGAACCTACATCCTAGGTATGTACCCTGACCAGGAATTGAACCCACAACTTTTTAGTGCATGGGATGATGCTCCCTCCAATCAACTGAGCCACCCAGCCGGGGTGCTGTTATTATTTAACTATGCTTATTTCCACTTGGCACCAAGTGTTGTTGAAAAGCTTGTACATTTAAAAAAATTTTGTTTGCATCCCTCCAACCCCTTTCCCCCAAACTTCACACCCAGAATCATTAAAAGAGTTGTAAAAAAAAAGCAAACCAGAGTTTGTTTGACTTCTGAAAGCTTGTCCCCATGAGAGTGAAAGCCTTGGAAAAGATAAAAGAGATGTCTTTTGGCCTTGGCTGGTGTGGTTCAGCGGATTGAGCAATAGACTGAGAACCCAAGGGTCACTGGTCTTATTCCCAGTCAGGGCACATGCCTGGGTTGCAGGCCAGGTCCCAGTAGGGGTTGCACGAGAGGCAACCACACATTGATGTTTCTTTCCCTCTCTCCCTCCCTTCCCCTCTCTAAAAAATAAATAAATAAAATATTAAAAAAGAAAAGAGATGCCTTCTGTGAAGCAGCACTATTACTTACATGCTGTAAGTGATCACATTATGGATCATTAAAAGAGAATGGATGGCGGAGGAGGAAGGGTGGTTGCTTACTTCCCCTTTCAGATGGCACTACTTATTAATTCACATGTCATAATTCTGCAGGCACTTAGGGCCTGGGGAAATGATGGCCACACTTTTGTATGCTGAGATGGAACAAATTGCAAGTGGAATAAATGAGCTAATGAGTGGAAATCACTTTGCACAGAGTCTGGCACATGATAAATGCTTTGTAAATGTTGGGCTGTTATACGTCATGTAGAATGAAAGCTGCTGCTGCTGGGGGTCATTGGTTGGATAACTGTAGTGGACAACTGTGTGGAATGGCAGCTCCCCAGCAGATATGTCTACCCAGAACAAGGGAATGTGACCTTGAGAATGTGATCTTGTGTTTAGATCATTGTGGATTATCCATGTGGCACCCAATTCAATAATGAGTAGGTTTAAGAGAGGAGATGACCCAGAAGGGCACACCATGTAACAATGAGAGAGGCTGAAGTGATACAAGCCAATGAACACCAAAGGTTGTAGCCACTATGAGATGCTAGGACATTGGTTTCATTTACAACAAAAGGAATATCTTGGGATACCAGGACTACCGTAACAAAATACCATAGACTGGGTGGCTGAAACAACAGAAATTCATTTTCTCACAGTTCTGGAGGCTGGAAGTTCAAGATCAAGGTGCTGGCCAGTTTGGTTCCTGGTGAGAGCCCTCTTCCTATTATGGTAAGAGGCTGCCCCTTTCCCTATAATTTCCTCTGTTCCTGAGCGGAGAGAAAAAGAGATCCTTCCTTCTTTCTTATAGAGACACTAATATCATCATGAGGGCCCCACCCTCATGACCTAGTCACCTTCAAAGACCCCCATCTCCAAATACTATCACATTGGGGGATAGGGCTTTCACATATAAAATATGAGGTAGAGGGGCACAAACATTTAGAGAGGAAGCTGATTTTTGAAGGGAAGTGTAGGTGGCAGTTTAGACTCAGTTTCTTCACCTAAAAATAGTGTGTAAGGAGTGCATTAACTAGACCAGAGGTTGGCAATTTTTTTATGTAAAGGACCAGATAGTAAATATTTTAGGCTTTGTGTTTTGTGTCGTCTCTGTTGAACTGCTCAAATCTGTAGTTGTGAGAAAGCAGTGACAGACGGTACATAAATGAATCAATGAGGCTGTGTTCTGATAAAACTTTATTAACAAAAATAGCTGTTAGTGAAAACAAGCCAAATGTCTATCAACAAACAAATGGATAAACAAAATGTGATTTAAACACACAA